ATTAGACCACCTGGCCTCAGCCAATCCTGTGTCTCTCTGCAATCCAATGGCATGCGGGAAAGGAAGGCAGCCAACCAGAGTAGGACACGACCAAGGAGCAGTATATAATGAGCGGCTTGGCCAGCGTGGTGGACTCGGATGGAAGGCGCCTGACGCGTGCTTCTGGCTTGTGCTTGGTCAATAAAGCCTGTTCTGCTGTACCGGTCTTTTACCTATCAGGGCTCGGGTATTCTACACTGGTGGCAGCGGATGCGTTCTAATAACGCGGATCGAACCCCAGCCCTTTCTCTTCAGTGGTCAACACAGACAAAGACCCTTAAATGCCAGCTGAATTTGTCATGGCGTTCATCCGATGTCCAAAAAAATGGATCCATAGACATTGCCCGTGATTAGGACTACTGCATCTGAAGAGACATTGGCAACTAAGCGTCGACGACTTTCACAGTGAAAGCCGGCTGGACTGCCTCTGCGAATGGACCTACGGTGAATGATGAGTCCTTCCTGCAAGTCTACAAGAGCAAAGTCCCTCGTCAGCTATTCGCATGGGCCACTATCCTGCCAGATGTGGGGTGCGGGGAGTGTCGAACTGGATATTTTATCAACACTGGAAATCAACAGCAGTGCGGTGGACGAAGCCAGAAGCTGATTACAGCTTCACCCCTAAGGGGAGGCAGTGTGGTGTCGGATTAGGGCGCAGACAGATGTGAACACCTGGTCTCAGCCAATCCTGTGTCTCTCTGCGATCCAATGGCATGCGGGAAAGGAAGGCAGCCAACCAGAGAAGGACGTCCACGAGGAGCGGTATATAATGAGCGGCGTGGCCAGCGTGGTGGACTCGGATGGAAGGCGCCTGACGCGTGGCTCTGGCTTCTGATTGATCAATAAAGCCTGTTCTGTTGTACCGGTTTTTTTCCCATTAAAGCTCGGGTATTCTACATTGGTGTCGAATCAAGGCGCAGACATGTTGGACCACCTGGCCGCAGCCAATCCTGTGCCCCTCTGCGTTCCAAAAACATGCGAGGAAGATAGGCAGCCAACCAGAGAAGGACATGAATGAGAAGCAGTATATAATTAGCGGCGTGGCCGGTGTGGGGACTTGGATGGAAGGAGCCTGATGCGTGGCTCTGCCTCTGATTGGTCAATAAAGGCTGTTCTGTTGTACCAGTATTCTTCCTACTAGGGCCCGGGTATTCCTCAGTATGGTGTAGCGGAGTGACAGATACCAGCCATATTGGTGTTAATTCGTTGGTCGAAGGTGAGAAGCACTCCATGTTGGCGACGTCATGTGACGGGGGGTGCGAATTCCGACTGTGTGGCGTCATGCGGGCATTAAATGACGCACCCGGGATTGAGAGCCAATCCGCTCAAGAGTTTTCCGTCTTAATTGCAGTGCCGTGGAACGGACCAACAGGACGAGCAGGACAAGGATATTTAAAGACCCTGTTTTTGCCCTTACGCGCGACCCGTTTTTGATTAGATTGTGGCTTGTCTCAGCCTTTCTTAAAAGACTCCAAATTGCCTTAATCTCCTTTCTTGACCCTTCCATGGGACCGAAGCGTACAATGGCGACGGAAAGAGGCGCAGACATGTTAGACATCCCTGGCCTCAGCTAATTGCCAATCTTCTAATGACAAGCGGGGAAGATAGGCAGCCAACCAGAGATATACACGAATTAGGAGCAGTATATAAAGAGTGGTGAGGCTAGAGTGGTGGACTCGGAGGGACTGCGCCTGAGGCGGGGTTCTGGTTTGTGACTATTCAGTCATGCCTGTTCTGTTGAACCAGTCTTGTTCCTACTTGGGCTTATGTAATCTACAGTGGCGTCGTCTGAGGGCGCAGACATTTTAACCACGCTGGCCTCAGCCAATCCTCTGTCTCTTTGTAATCCAATGCCATGGGAGGAAGATATGCAGCCAACCAGAGAAAAACACAAATGAGGGGCTGCATATATTGAGCGGCGTTTCCAGTATGAAGGACTCAGATATACGGCGCCTGACGTTCGGTTCTGGCTCGAGGTTGGTCAATAAAGTCTGTTCTGTTGTACCAGTCTTTTTCATACTAGGGCTCAGCTATACTATAGTAGTGACGTACTACGGCGCATTCATATTAGACCTCGACAAGCTCAGACTATGTTTGTTTAAATTAATGGACGTCTCAGCCAGTAAGTTTGACAAGGCTATTTGCATTTGCTGAATAAAAAAGCCTGTCACCATACCCTGGTTTAAGTAATATGCACTGAGTGCAAATAACCAAGCAGCGTATAAGTATTTTTAGTCAGAGGTATTATATATTCCTTGTCCTTGCTATTTACAGAGACTCTTAATATAAATTAAACAGATTATTTCCCTAACTGTCTTGTGCTTGGACCACCCCCTTCATCGTAATACATTTTCCCCATGTAATCTATCAGACTAAAAGAGTCCTCTACAAGCTTACTAGCTTGAAGATGCTCTACCAGATTTTAAAGCCCTTATCAATATGAATGACAACGAAAAAGGTTGACGGTAGCAGACAGTCACTGTTTACATACCATAGGCTAGAAAAGCCAAGAAAACACAATTCAAAAATATTACCTTCACTTTTGGCCCCATATTTATAAGCTCATCTCCTCCAGCCACGACTGCCAATAAAAAATTATTTAAATAGCAAGCATGTACGGCTAATGGAGCTGACGGCATAATGCGGTACTTAAGGCACGTGTGCAGGTTCCTTATGTGTATCATCGACTGAAAAGCTAAACAGTTTTGGTAAAAAAAAACAAAAACAAAACAAAAACAAAATAAAAAACATTTTCTATTTTCTATGCCGATTCGGACAACATATCGACCAGATTGACATTTTTTTCATATTGACTATTTTAAAAGTTAAATAAATCCTCAAAACTTCATAAATCTGGTCAATATTAATGCTGGCAATTATCCCTTTGCGAATAAATTTCGTAATGCTTGCCTTTATGACATTGAAAACTTTAAAGAACAGCGAGTAAAAATATTTAAACAAATGTAGTTTAAGCGAGATAATATGTTCCTCTGGTTTATGTAACGACTTTTTTTACTTGGATGAATCAACTCAAAATTATTTTTGTTTAAATTCATTGGGATTAAATAGCTGTGAATGCATTTGTCTAATTGATGAGAATGTCGTTTACTGTACCGTAGATGAAGCTTAAGAGTATGTTAGTTTCGTCGTTCATATTATGTAGAACTAAAGCAGCAGCAGCTTCGCGCTAAAACCCTACGTGAGAAAATCGAAGCCACACTTGCTGTGGCACTTTTTTATTACGAAAGTGATGATTACGCTTCTGCAGTTAGTGAATATAAAGCCCTGCTTGAACTCTACGAGAGCGGAACAGTTGTTGAAAAACTTCAGTTGGCCCTAACTCACCGGTCACTTGCGGAATGTTATTTGGAATTAGCGGATTTTAACAATGCCATTAAGCACTCAAATCAATATCTCAAATTAGCAAAAGAAGAAAGCAATTTCCTAGAGCAGCAACGAGCCTTTGTGACCATTGGACGGTGCTTTGAATGTCGCGCTGATAATGTCTTTAACGGTGAATTATCAAAAAAGAGTTTGTTTGCGGCGAAGCAGGCTATTTTAAAGAGTATAGAACTTACCAAGTCAGTGAAAGGTTTGTCGTCATCGGAAATCGCTGAAATGAAAGCTGTTTCACTCCTTAACCTGGGCAAGTTGGCTAACATTATATTGAAAATTCACTTCGTGTTCGCGCAACTTCTTTGAAATTTCAGTTCCTGTTTTACCATTATCCGAAGGAATGGGCTTATGGATATTTACGCGAAAGTATCCAATCATTATTTAGAGGCAGTTTTAGGAAATAAGTTCGCTTGCATTTGTGATAGCTGTCATTCAGTCTCCTCACGCCTGACTGCGTTTTTTTCTCGATTTTGTTCGTAGGCCACGTTCTTCGATCATGTGGAGACTTTGATTCGGCCCGAGCTCGGTTTGATCAGTGTATTAAGATTTCGTATAAGTATTCACTGAAGAAAGTGATTTTTCGTGCTACTTTTCAACAATGCGAACTTCTCCTACAACAGTGGCCGTCGATTGTCCAGGCACGATGTCGGCCTGCTGAGTTACTTAGTAACGCAGAATTAGACAGTTTATCTAATGGAGTAAAATTGTGCAGGTATACCCAACCCGAATGTTTGACTAGTTCAATTTAGTGAAACTCTGAGATTGTTTGGTGTTGAACATTGTTTGGATAAAGAGACCAAAGCTTTACGAAGAAACCTGGAAGAACTCTTAGCACAACTCTATATTGGAAAGGGTGATTATAGAGTTGCAGCTAAAGTGTATCGCCGGCTTTCCCAAGCAGATCCCGAAGCTGGTTTAAGCTATAAGCACCTCTGTGGAAAGTGTAAGTTTATCGTTCTCTTATTTATAACCTATTTGAAGGTCTTAGGTTCAGTAACTTAGCTAATAAGACACAATCACTTTTGGGTGATACTGTCGACCAATTGCAGCAGATTTCACTACACTTTGAGACACTTGGAGATATTTTATCTTCCATGGAACTGCATGGGCCGGCTTTACGGTGCTATCAGCAAATGGTTTGAACCGATTTGTCCCATTAATTGTGTTTTCCATAGTTACTATGGGGTGAGGCTGCCTTTACGAAGAAAAGACTGGAAGTTTGTGATTCTGAAGGTCTTGATCAGTTGTCCGCGTTGGCTAAACAAGTAGATTGTGGTCTTGTATCCGCTGCTGAAGCATGTGCGAGTTTAGGTGCATACGCTCTTTGCGCACACTTTTATCATCGAGAAATCGAATTTCTAACTAGTCTTTCCGGGTACTCACTTTCGTCTTCGACGAATCTCAGTGAGGAAGAACTTGCTCGAAGTTGGCTTTCTCTTGCCAGGGCTTTGATTCAATCACCGAAAAACACGCCGCCAGGATTTCATTTAACGGGCATTGTCCGTTTGCCTGTCTCAAAAACCCCAGAAGATGCCCTTAACAACTCCTTAAACATTGCGAGGACCTGTAAAAACGCAGATATTTTGGTTTGTCTACATTTTTTTATAATCTTTTAGCGTGAGTGCCTCGACGAACTAGTTGAGTACCACAGAAGTTGTGGACGAATGTCTCTTGCAAGCCTTTACGCGGATGAGTTGAAAGCTCTTGGCGATAGTGAGAGCCACCAACCCAATGATCCTACCACCAGTTCTCAAGTTCGTATTCAAGGCAGAAGAAAAGGGGAGATTGAATCAGATGTTGATTTAGATTTCGAAACTCAAAATAAATCGTTGGACGAAGCCATCGAGGTTCTTTCCTCTGATTCAGGTAAAACTAATATACTCCTATTAAGGCTCAGGCGAAACGCTGTTCTGTTCACTAATTTATTTTCTTGATGCCGTTCCTCGAAAAAACATTTTAACTTGCTGTTTTATTCAAATGTTTGTATTTTTTGGTCACCCCATCCCCTCTTCATTTATACCCTATTTGCTGTCTAAATAGTCTACGTGCATGCAGTTTCATTCTCACTCTTTCAATACGACACACTAATTTATTCGTAAACGTATTACTGTACTCAAATTGCCTTGCATTCTGTTGGACTTTTGAAGCCAGCTGAAGATCCATTTTTGTGTGTTCTGCTTTTTACAGTCGTACCTAAAGACTCGTTCATGTAACGTTCTGCTACATTGTAGCTGATTCCGGTCTTTTATTTTGCAGACATTGCACAGTGTGTGGATGTATCCAACGGAGCTAATGATTTGATAGAATCACAAGGAAAGAGACGGAATAAAGCTCTTTGCCTTAAAGTTTGTTGAATAATGCCCATTAAAACTTTTGGTTTAGACAAATCTGAAGGGCGAGTCCCCCTTGCATGTTGCTGCCATCAATGGCAATCTCGAACACGTTGTCAAACTAGTCGAAGTTTTGGTGAGTGGATAACCTTTTTTCTAACAAATACCCATAAGTTTTCCTCTTGTTACTTTAACTCTATTAACAACTGATCTGAAAATCCAAAATAGTGGATAATTTCACGGGCACCACTGTTCCATGCTTATTTGCTTTCTATACCTCTTGGCTGCTGCCATGACTTGGAAGTGGCATTGGGCTTTTCAAATGTGCTTTCGAACCGCGTGAAAACTGAAGTCAGTAATTTCCCAACGAAAATCCATCGGAAGTTTTAATTAATTATGAATTCACCGAGACTTACGTCGTTATTCCACGACGAACAGAAGATTTTAACCGATTATTGATCAACTTTTACACTAGTTTACAAATTGACATCATTTTGTGGTTATTTCCGTTTTTTATGTTTTTAAATTCCTCAAGCATGTAGTGTATTTCAATTGCAAGCCAAAATAAAAATCGAGACGATTTCTCAGTAATATTATCATTTTATTTTATTTGCTTTTACCCCTAAAGGCATTTCACCTTTTTAATTAGGCACACCCAATAAACATTCGTGACGGTGCTGGTTGGTTGCCCATCCACGAGGCAGCCTTTCACGACCATGCTGACATTGCTATCTACTTGTTAGATAAAGGAGCCCACCTAGACGACACAGGATGCCAGAAAGATCTTTCAACGCCCCTCTTTGAGGCAATTCATGGAAATGCTCTCAAAACTGCCACTATCCTCGTTAACCGTGGTGCGGATTTGTGGCATGTGTATGTGTACTTTCTGATGCCAACTTGCACCGTTATTATTTACTTTAATGCTCCACCATGTATTTATCATTTAAGTGCAGTTCTTACTAGGTATTAATGTAGCCAATGTTCCTCAGCCATGTTGTTTTATATTTTGTGGTAGAAATCGAGAGGGTGAGACGCTTTCCGACCTGCTTAATGATTGGCGACCGAAGAAACACGCACATGAAGTGTCGGAGGTACAAAAAAGCCTTTTTCGTCAGCTGTTGCACGCAATCAAAAAGAATTTGGGTGGTACGCAACCCTTCACTTATATTTTTGCCTTGGCAGCTGTCTCCTAAATGGGCTTGCTTCATGCGATGCGTTGACGTTTATTATTTGGCATTTCATTGCTACGGAGTCTCATATTTCCTCCTATTTAGTGAAGCATTAGGTTTGTCTGTGGTCGCTTCCGTTTATGTAGAATTTGGCAACAGTCTCCATAAGCATTTAGCTTATTCGGAAGTAAACCCGGTAAACTTCCTGTAGTCCAAAGCAAATTTTCTATAAGGAACTCGGTTCCCAAATGTCAGGAAGTGGTTACTGTGGAGTGCCAAATTCCCTATAGACATTTCGGTACATGCTGAATGTGTTTGTTAAGGATTGCTACATCTAAATTTCTATTTTTGTAAGGTAGTCTGCTGCTACTGATAATCGTTTGGATAGTTATGCTGCTAGTCTCTTTGATTACAAGACCGTCTGTTAATCGACAGTAACATCACGGAATGGCAATTTTGGTTGATTTCTATACAGTCAGTCATCGAATCTGCTCGGAACTTAGTAATGAAGTTCATTGTTGCGGGTAATTTAAGCATCCATTGCTCCATAGGATCAAGGAGTGACAGGGTTCAAGGATTTTAAAATTTATTCGGGTCTTCACATCATATCATATGTAAAGAAATATTTTTCTAATTTACTCTACCACAGAGTCTTACGAAAAATGGTGCACCCATCGCCCCCAGAAGCCCCCTTTAGCGGCTCCAACTCAAGCTACTGAATCCATAGCATTTATGAATGCGGGTGAAGTTGATGATGCCAATCTTGAACACAATCTTCCCCTTATGAACAAAAAGAAAAGATCAAAATCGTTTTTCTCGCGACGCCAAAGGATTAGTTCTGAGTCCTCCTCAGGGGAAGAGACGTGTAAACAAAAGAAGTATCTGAAACGGAATTCTCTCGATTCTTCTTTGTCGTTGGGGTATACCAAGGCTGTTAATGACTACCGCAATGCCATGAGGGCGGTTGGCAGTTCTGCTGTTCGGTGCGTTGTATAGTTAGTTTGATTGTTCCAAATTTCGAACCCACCATCTTCATGTGCTCTGTGAATGTTCATTATTTGATGCAGAAATTTCGGTTAAAGCGAGCAAAAAGGTGACAGCGCAACAGGGTAGACCACAGTGAAAGTTTGTTATTAAAAGTTTTGTCTAGGAACATTTTACAGTGCTAAATCGTATAAAGATACCCATGTGTGTTCCTTAAGTACTTTGTAACAGTGACAAATCGGAGTCAAGTTTTCAGTCCTTCGGAGTAGTAGCTCACCGTGTCGCATTTAGCTAGAGCAAGTATTTCATAAAGACACATGGCTCCCGATTGCGTGGTTGCGTGATCAGCAGGTGACTTAACTTTAAATCATGCCTAATTCCAGGTAAACGTACTTGGTAGTAATTTGAAGTCCTGAAGGTTGTAACGTATGATGAGCACCACTTCCATAGAAGACGACATTTTCAGTTCGGTGAGATTTTGTCGATCGTGGTTACACAGGTCGCCATCACGTTGTAAATATCGGCGTTTGGATCTAAGATGTTGATGATTCTGTCCCTTACATTAACTTCGGTTACTTAATTCGTACAATAGTAATATACTTTCAGTAGTTTAAAAAATCTCTTCAGGTTTACTGTGTTGACATCACAAGCTCTGTGTGTGTAATTTTTGCTGTTTTTGGGTACAGTTGCGTGTTTTCTTTTGAATTTAATAACCAGTAAACATGGCTGAACGGCACTAGGCCGGAACTTTATACGAAAATTATTTATCTCCTAGTTCCTCTATTGAGGCTTGCGTGGTTGATGATGATACTAGTGAAAATCGGGCGGGTGACCTTACTGGAGTTCCCGCTGACGATACTGCCAGTTGGCTAGAAGACGACTTGAAATGTTCGAGACAAAAGAAAAAACGATCAAAAAAGGCCCTATATCAACCACTGCGTTACAGTAAGTCTAGTTGTTTGTGCTTTAAATATATTCGAGATCGAAATTTTTCCCTGTAGCGTGGGTATCTACAATCGGAATACTTGTCCCATTTACCATAAGGTCCCTTAGGCTTTTCAGACATCATATCAGTCCTGACGCCCATGCTTCCGTAAAATCTATTAACGTTGTCAACTTCAATCTAGAGAAGATATTTATTGTCTCAGCAGGGACATCATCCACAGGATTTTTACCTTATGCCTCTTCGATGGCTGTCGTTGAAAGATCCATAAGTGTCAGCCGCTCTTTTCGTACGCAATTTCATTTCATTCCGAGGGCAGGGTGTTTTAAGGGTTAAGTAAAGGTGTCTGTTTTTCCTTCAGAGTATTTGCACGCATGTGGTTTTCCGCCATTGTCCTTCATCATTATGTTCCCTCTAGGTCCACAGCCCCAATTTCCGTATCCTAGGTCAACGCACTTACCGGATGCAGATGCGTTTGATCCCGCTGAGGCTCTTTCATCCACTCAAATACAGGCGCATGCGCCCTCTCATGTGCCGCAGCCCTCTTCGGCAGAGACACCAGCAGCTCCCGCTATCCAGGCATCTCAGCAGCCTACGGTCCAGCTGCCGACACAGACATCAGGTTGCCATCGGAACTTTTTTCTAGTCAAATTTGTCGTAGTTCTAATGTCAGGATAATGGTGGTCCATGTCTGAGCTTGCTGATTTAGAACTCAGTACACGTACAAATAGTTGGAACATTTTACTCAGTGTAACTTCCTTCACGACAGCTTTATACACCAAGGGTAAGAATCCTATATGTGGATGTAGTTGCAACTCACAGCATCCGGGTTCAAGTAATTTCGTTGTCTTGCTAATCAGCGACTAAACAGAGACTTGATGCAAATAGCTAGAAACACGCGTGTCAAGTGTTGTATTACTTAATGGTTTAAAATTTTTCCTTGTATTGTAGGATGTTACAGTATTTTACTACCATTGGAGCAGGTGTGAGAACTCGGTTGATCACTCCTAGACTAAAAAAAACTAGCAATTCCGGTGCTAAAGATTCAGATATTACGCAACCTAAAATTCGCTACGTCAGCATACTTAATGGCCATCCAAGCGATATAGTGGAGATATAATGAGTGTAAAAACAAGTCTTTGGTTACCTTCTTCCATCGGTGACCTTTTGCTCAGGGATAGTTTTGCGCCTCCTGAACACGACCTCATCTGCATGATAAATTATCGGCTCAGAGGGGAGTCGGGCAAATCCACAAACGTATTATCGAAAACTGACCTTCCTAATTTGTGGTTTATTTTGTAAATATGCCTTTTTGATGATTGACTCTTGCCTAAACCTCCACGAATTGCACGCATTTTATGCTAAGCATTGGAAAGCCTCAACAGCCATGAAGCATTTCTTTAATCATTGAGAAGGATGTTTTCCTTTTCCTTCCTCTACATCGTTTTACTGGGAACGTTTTACCGTTGACAATATTGAAAATTTCAGTTTATGATATGCTCGTCGTCCATGCAATTGTCATTTTTCTATTTCGTTTGTTTTTTTCTAGGCGTGACCTGGTGCACTGTCAAGGTTACTTTTTCGGATATTTCCCTGTTACTTCCCGTTGATTCCCAGTAAGTCCGGTTTTGCCTCATTTTACGGATCTAAACTCGCTTCTTACAACAACTCTAAGCTGCTGTAATTTTATGATTTAATGTTTTTAATTTACCAACCTACACTTTTTTTGAGTCATTTGCAGTGTTAAGTCGGTCAGCTAGCGTTAGCTTGTTTGTAATAGCATTTTCTCAACCGTAACGCGCACCAGTGCCTCTTTAACCGCTTTGTTTTGCCTTTTTTCAGACATCGTACTGTAAATTGGCTTGCAGAAGAGGCCTATCGTCGCCACCAACTCCTCCTTGACCAGGAGTTACCTGCCACCACAAACCAAGTTCGTATACGCTCTCCAGATGGTGCACTACTTCTTCCGACGGATCTTCTCTGCTCTGTTCTTCCTACAGCCCTCCAAGGCGCTAATCCAGAACTGATGGCGGAAATTGTTCAGCCTAGTATTCATGCGACTGGAGTCCGAAATCGCTCTCGGACACCTAATCGCCCCACACCAAGTACGTCCCTTCTTTTAGTCAGTCACTACAAAGCTAAAACAATTTCGTTGTTTTGCGTCTTTTTTGGTAATCAGACACGAACAGGTTTATGCCAACGCTTACTTTAATCAGTTGAAGACTTTCAGTTACAGCGTTGACCACTGTTAAGAGTAAAGCCGAAAACCTACCATGGTCAGTTCGTACTTTTGGTCAATTTAGATGCTGCATCGATCCCGTGGCTCTATTCCATCTCTCCCTAGCAATGCATAAGTTTGCTTCATCACAGTTGTCAGTGATCCTACCTCGAGGTTATCAAGTTCGAACCACAGTTCGAGTAAAATTTATATTCCTTGGACTTTCTCGTACTTTTAGTGTTTTCTTTTAATTACTATTCACTCCGCCTCGGTAAAGCTAAACCACGACAGTCGATCACATGAGGTTCGCCTAGTGCTATTTTACAAACATAGTATCCTGGCTTCAAGCAAAATAATCGGCTCGAGTGTGCTGCGCACCCAATTGCTTTGTTTCATCACATGTCCGTATATTTTAAAGCCTACTTACCTCACCTTCGATTTTTTTTACTATTTTAGCTGAGACTTCGGTTCCTCCGGTTCTGGTTTTGGGATCCGCCAATACGCTCGAAGGATTGGGCCACATTTCCTCGCTAACTTTACGTCGGTCTATATCAAATGCCTTGGATACAGGTCTTCTGGACCTCTCTTTCCAGGCTCTCGGGGGACCAGGATGCGCCAATGCCCTTTTGGAGTACGTGAAATTAAGGGCTGAAAATCGACATGTCACAAAACTTTGTCTCGATGGTAAAAACAGTTTTCTTTATTATACTCGCCCGTTTTCAGTAGAGGTATTATGTCCGGGATTTGTGAGTGGTTATTCTGGCACTAAATGGTGTGGATATTTCCTTCCTCCTTTTAGCAAACTGATATGAAATCACTAGGTTTTAGTGTCTTTGACTTTGACCTGATTCTGTGACCTTGAAATTCGCTTTTACCGACACTACGTTTCAGGATGCCAGAATTTTTGGTCGAGAAATGTTAAAGACTGATGTATGGAAGTGGTCACGTGCCTGATTTATTACATTTCAGCACTCCTGCTTAACTTTAGCTTCTGGTTTGCGCTTCTTCAGATTGTATTTTTGCCAAGGCTGTATCCTTGCGGTATTCTGCCTCCATGCTGTTTTTGCTTTTGAACTACCCCTGTCGTCTAAGCAAATGCTTCTGCTTCTCCAAAATTCCCTAAAAGTGAACATTGCTTCCAGGCTCTAAAATACGAGGTCTTCCCTTTGCTTCTCCACCCTTCAGTCATTTTTTAGCACGAAAGGTTTATCATTATCTACGCTAATATTCTAAGTCTGCAACTCCTTACTGGGCATTAAGTTACTGTCTGATAATCTTTGGTCCCCTACTGAGATCTTCGCTGTTTTAAGTATTTAGAATGATTTTTTAAAATAAAATTCAGTGTTATTTTCATCGTCCTTTCTGTGTAGCCTTGGTCAATTGTCAATTAATTGCCAAAGTATCGTCTATCTTTTTAGTCCAAAAACCACCAAATGTGGAATTTCTACTTTCCACTGGTAAAACACTGACTATAGCATATCCTTCTCCACTGAAATCAGTGTTCTTAATCATATTTCATTTATGTGGGCTCCAATTGACATACTTTACTTTTTTGAAGGTAATTTACTGTCACCAAATGATCTGCAGGAACGCTCATCTTCGGAAAGGCCTGTTCTGCTGCTGGCCTTTCAGAAGGTTTTAACACCTCATTTGAAGGAGCTGTCGTTGGCGGACAACTTTCTCACTATTGATGCAGTAATAACCTTACTCTCAGGAGGCCAATATTTGTAAGTATTGTGGCCTTGGCTGATTACTGACAGTACTAAGAATAAATCCCTCAACTTGTACTTAACCATTTCCACTAACAGCAATCTCGAGCCAGTGGAAAATCTAGTCTTGGCATTGATCAACGAACGTGCATCGTGGATCACGAAATCCAAATCTTGGATCCCAAAAAAATCTCATGGGTTCCTTTTGCATTTCGCTTGTACATAACTTCCTAAAATTGTTGTTGCTCATTTTCGCAAACAAGCTTCAGTCAGTTGAAGGAATCTTGGTACTGCAATTAAAATATTAAATGCAATATTTGTAATTCGTTGTCATCTTTGTTATGCTCCTTATTTTAGACCCAGCGTGCCAGCTAATCAGATAACTCACTTGTGCCTGAGTCACAATCCCCTGTTTGTCCAACCAACCGACCCCAGTCGTAACACTGTCACATCTCCTACAACTTTGCCATGGTTCAACACTGACCAACTCTTTCTAACTGACACTGGCGCATCCAATGTTCCCCCGTCTACGACACTTTCATGTCTCCTTGCCGCATGTCCAAGACTAATCCGCTTAGAATTGATCAACTGTGACATCACGCCTACAGTTTGGCAGAATGCCTTAGTGCCTCGATTTGTCAGTACAAGTAGCTTTTCATATTCGTCTGAAAGTGAGTTTTACGACTGCTCTTATTTAAAGATTTTTGCGAAGCTAAGGTATTAATCCAGTGCGCCAATCGAGGTAAAATACCTCATCAATAAAAGTCATTGTCTAAGGTGTAATGACAAAGCAAGTCATTTCGTCTATCCTCATTTCCCTCTGAAAGATGTCTACAGTGGAAACACATCAAGCTTCGACCCCATACTGCTCTACTAATCAACTCAGTGAGGTCGTAATCACTTCAACTTAGCGTTTAGTAGACTTCCTATTAATCCAGCTTATTTACCCAGGTCCATTGAACAGTAGCCCCTGGAGTAGAGTTGCCTAACACATCTTGATTATTAGATAGAGGTAGGGTATTGTTGCTTTTTTCTCTCGAAAAAGCTAATGGCTCTCTTCCACCATCACTGCTACTGGTATCATAAAAGGATGATCGCGAAAACATCCAGAGTTTACTACTTGAAACCTATTTTCTGATTCCTCTAGGGACTTTGTCTAACCCTACAGTTAGTCACCTAAGTGAGTTGGACATCAGTCTGAATCCACTTTCGTCGAAAATGCTTAACACCGACGGAGACTCCTTGTTTGATGTCCTATCGGCTCCTGAGGGCAAAGGCCACTCGCTTCTCTCATCACTTCGTGTTCTCTCCGTTCGAGGAAGCCTCTCGGTGAGTGGGTGTAAACGTGGAGGCACCGGACTAGTTCTAGGTGATGAGGCGTTATCCGGAGAAACTTGGATGCTTTGTGAGGATTTTTGCAAGGACACAACCACCAAACCATCAGGAGATGTCTTTATCGCCTGTCTTTCCCGTCTGCTTGATGCGGTATGGATACAGCATGGTTTTATTTTCGATTGTGCAAAAAAATATTTAAAGATCATGTTCAATTTTAGAGTAATTTTCACATTCAGACACTAGATGTTGGTTGCTGTAATTTGACAGAGGGTTGCCTTCCGAACTTGCAGAGGTGAGTTTTCCGTTTCCTGATTTTTCCGCCATAAGTTTGTGTAATGTTATTGTTGGATCGATCCGTTGATACTTGTCACTTCGTACATGTTTAATAATTTAGAGATCTATATGCTGACGAAAAGTTGTGGTTAAACATCGATAAACCTGAACTGGGTTTATTACGTTGCACTTATGCCAACTGCATTGTGTTTTCAGATCCGTTTCTCGGAGACTTAGAAACTTCAAACTCGTTTCGAAGGTCATATTTCTCGTTATTGGATCATAAAGGAAACATCCTAAAATATTGTCTATGTGTTGTCAGTTCACCTCACCTCTATGACTTTTAAGTTAACTAAGTCATCGTTATATCTGGGTTTGAGTTACAAGGGCGACTAATCATAATCTGGATAATAATTCTTTGCTCAGGTTGTTGGCGGCTCCGAGCACGACTCTAACTTCACTGTCCTGCGATCGAAACCCCGGTTTACGAAAGGGTACTGTGTGGGCCAACGTTCTTTCAACCAGTGGCCAGGCCTCTTCTCCACTTGTTTCGCTTTGTATCGATATTCCGCTGCGTACGTTTTCAGATGCCTCTGATAAATGCGATCCATTTTTGACCACCATTACAAAACACTTGCTCTAAATGTTAGATCTATCAATATGACGTCTTGCGAGGTTGTTGTAACCAAATTCTATCATTATAGTGAACTGAAATCTCTCTGAATAAACGAAACGTCTGGTTTTATTTTCTTGAATAAAATCAAGGCGAAGAGTGGATTGCCACGAAGACTAAAATTCCTAATGAATCATTAGGGTAAGATATGTTGCTGAAGAAATGGTCGTGGTTGTAATTAGGCGGTATCGAACGAATTTTTGCAGATTGTGTATAATGATTAACTTGGTCTTGTCTTGTAATAGGGTTAAGCGGCCACTAGGGACGGCATTTAGAATGAAGACGACCAAATGCGGATAAACAGTTTGTGCAATGAGCACCTACAAGACATATCAGGATAAAAATGTTTGCTAATCGCCTAATATTGTAGTACCCAAACAGAACACTGTATGTGGGCGAATTTGAGAAAACATCGAAATCAAAACGGTTTTCGATTGTTCATGGTTGAAGTGATTTCGTCAAAACGGCAACTGCTTTCTAAATGTTCATTTTCTTTTAGTTGTAACGGAGGGTGACTTGACGGCTACTGTGGAAGCGGTTGCCCGCAAGTTTTCACCAAGCACCTGCCCCACACCCTTGCAGGAGTTTACCCTCATTGGAAGCGTAACTTGGCCAAGTGAGATTCCAATCGGCAAAAAGATGCCCCTCTCATCCACTGTGTTGACAGCTCTAGCGCAACAAGAATCCACTTTTCTTGACCGCTTTTTATCTCACGTCGCACTGAGCTTTGCAGGACGCTTTCGGAAGCTAGCTAATGTTTCTCATCAGCCACCCCGTACAGTGTTTTCTATTAGATGAGTTGGATCTTTCGATCATGTTGAGTTCTCTTCTGGTGGCTGTTTTGCGGCGGGGCTCCTACTAACCCCAAGCTGTATAGAAGTGGATTGCATTTATGTCTCTAAGCCTATGTATATACACATGATTTGGCGTTCCAGTGCAAACTTTTTTGATAATTATATTTCTATGTGGAATCAATTCTTCTGATTGTTCTCGTTGTCATTGTTTCGTAATTGATTGGTTTCGAACTTGTTAGTGCACAGTTGCGTTCTGTACTCATCTGCCCTCGTTATGCTGTTGAAGTAGCATGAATATACCGTATTTTCTCTAGGTGAAGTTCTTTGGTGGCTAGGTAAATCAGTCACTTATCTAGCCAATAGCCTCGTGAATATTTATTGACTCTGCTTAAACTGTACAGAAATGGAATTGTTCTTCTAGGTTTAGACTTTCCTAGTTACACGTGCGCCCGTTCAACTAAATGTACGGATCCTAAATTAAGTAGTGTACTAACGTGGGTCTTCGTTAGCTAATTTTGGCGGGAATCTAGCGTGTATTTGGGCATACGAAATCGCATCACCCCAAAGGGGACCTCGACCGTTCAGTTTAACCATGTGCCCGGTCATCAATAAATAGTTTTTGTCCATAAAAAAGACCATGACTGGTTTTTAGACAACCGGGAGATTCCCCTCATTACTGACGTCTTTTCGCATGCGAATGTCGCGTACAAATTTAATCCCCCGCTTCTTGAATGTGTTGTTTGTGTGTACGTCCTGTGGTAGGGTATTTCAAGAAGTGCGCAGACCTTTTTGATCCATACTTGTGTAGGCCTAACGTACGCAACCAATATCGAATTTTAGGTAATCAAGGCTAAATCAATTCATATTACTCGGTATGTTGGCCCAGGTGCCGAGGTCTTGCCAACGGGACCATTTGGGTTAATTTTCAACAATTTTCTCTATGATACATGAAGGACAGCAGTCCGCAAACACATGGTCTCCCATCCCTAGGTGTGCTTCATTTTGATGCCATCTAGCATATCTGACCACCAATTCAATTAAATCCCCAAGAATTATTGTTCTGCGATTAAAACTGCTCGAAAGTAGCTATGTATTGTTATCACGGCCAGTTAGCGAAGGTTCAGACTCTCGTCGGATGGCAGTTCCCATTTAGGCGACCAAAGTTATGGCTATACCACTACAAATACTTCTAGGGCTTCATCGTACAAAATCAATGGCAATAATTTGCTTTATGTCTTTTCGGTAACGCAAGTAAGGTGCCTGTTTGATTTGCAATAGCGCAATGGAGTCACCCGAATTGGCCTTTTCGTGCTTGAAAGAAGCGGTTGAACAGCACATTAAAGGCAAGTCGAATTTAATCGTGACGTTCGTCTCGTCTGCCCCTATTTTAGTATTTAGTTGCTTCTTCGTTGTCACATTTAAGGCTCACTACCGGGTAGTATGACCTAATTAGTCGGGTTCTAACAATTTTTTACAAATATTTTTGCCTCCGCTAACATGTGGAAAATGTTGAGGTTCTTAACTGTACATCGACCTTGCCTCATGGAGTTGTAAAAGTTTCCCGTATTGCTAATTATAATTTGAAAGATGGGGTCATCACACAGAGCCCACTCGTTTGTTTTTAGAGCGCTCACGTTTGGAGAAGCAATTGAAGGAGGCTGAAGTTAAGGCCTCTCTCGCTCAGCGAGAGCTGAGTGCAGGTCTGCCTGCTAACTTTTATCTGACATTTATATAGCTGAAAAGGCATATTCTTCAGCCCAGTCAGAAGAATTACTGCTGTGTGAAAAGAAACAGCTGCTTCTGCACAAACTGGAGACTCTTAATTCCATGAACGATAGGTGAGGCCATTTTTGCACTGACTTCATACCCCCCCCAACGGAATTCAACTAGCATGGCCAATATGTACGTGAAAAACTAGCCAACTTTAAATAAAAATATTACTATCTGCCTTCCTGAACTGAGCGTGGTCAGACAATACGGTCACGTATATGCATTACAGATCTAAACAGAATCTTTATCTTTTGTTTAGAAGTGATTGTAAAAAATAAAAGCAATTTCGTGATTTTTGGATTCGAGAAACGTCAAGGTGGAACTATGGTGTTTAACGAGCGTTTGCAATTTAGCATACTGGGTAGTATCGTCGTCCTCACGGCCAATAGAAGCATATTATTTTCCTTAAACTATGATGATCATCTTGTTATAGGTTACATCAGCTGTTCACCCAAAATCAGGAATCGGAAATCGAGCTAGAAAACTGTACATCAAAGCGTCAAGCAGAAGTATCATCGGAGTGGTAATCCGAATCAATATTATGGAAGTTTTAGCAATCATTTAAATGGGGAATTCCTGAAATTACAAAACCCTATTTTTACGGAACTCAGCATTCGAGATACGATGGAATTTGATGTCCCCGAGGTGTAAGCAGTTATCTTGAAACTATATCGCAATCCCTTTTTAGAGACATCGAGCGTCTGCAGGCAAAGTGGTCTGTGCAAAAACAAAACACTTGAAAATACAAAATTTGAAGCACCTCCTTTCGAATTTTTTGGGCCTTAACTTGATTATCTAAGCTAAACTACTCAGGTTTCGTCGGTCGGGAAAAAACAGGACTGAATCCTTTAAAATGAGGCAGAGAAACCTAAAATCTTACATATTTAACATAACATTCTGGGAGTAACTAACCACTGCCGAGAATCTCCGTCAAACAATTATGAAGTGACAACTATAACTTACTATTAATTCAATTCTATTCAAAACAGATTCAACTGATACATGCTATAAACGTCGACCTTTTGCGCATTTTAAGTCTGCCTCAAAGAGAAAAAAACAGTGGTCTGTAACACATCATATTTATACAATCCGTGGAACTATAACATTCCAACTTCTTCATCAAGATCACCAGATTCTTCAACGGCACGTTTCGCGTACTCCTCCGCCTCTTGGTGGACATCTCTCGGAACCAGTTGGTGTTGATTAGCAGTTTCTATAATGGTAATAAAAAGTAATAAAGTTGCCTGAATTATGCTAACACATCCCAAAACCATTTTAAATCCACACCTCTAAAGTCCAGCCGACACCTAGAATGTTATGAAACATCATAGGTTAAAATTTCTGTTTCACTTTGCCCCTTGAAAGCTTTTCGTAACAAAACAGCGACTTTTCCAACTACCAAGACAAATACGGTGAAATTCCACGATGGATCGCAATTGCAGCAACACCGTTGACTAGTTGAGTAATTAGGATACCACAAAGTATAACTAGTGGTTCAAAGAAAAACATACTCAGCTTGAAACTGTAAAACACACGGTTGAAGCTAGAACTCTAAAATGGAAAACCGACAAGGCCTACACTTTTAAATTAATGTTGGGTTACTTTGAACAATTTCACGTGAAGTTTTAGGTTCCCTGACACATGTGGCGTTACAGTATTTACCTTCAGTGGCATAGCATATTAGATAAACATTGTAAATTGAGATAAAATTGTTTAAATTAGTTGTCTACTTACGACTTCCAACCCAACTGAGGTCCAATTCAAACGTCTTGTCTTTGATTTCATCATGCACTGTGTAAATACTATAAAAATATAATGTATTAAAGTACCATAAAAATTGTTTATGAAGCCACAAAACTACACTTTCGAGATGAAATCACCGTCCCGCAGCAATGTAAACAGCATAACTCGACAATGGGTCCATCATTAACAAAATCAACGAAATGAATACCTCACAATATTAAGACCAACTTTAGTACGTCTTTATACGGTAAAAAGGCGAAATAGCAAAATACGATAGCCTTTATAAATATCTGACGGTCCAAAATTTGGGAGGACGTAATTCTTCCACAATAAGCTTACATTTTTGCTGCCTCTTTGATGAGTTCTTTTATGGTCATATCCTTTAACTTAAGTTGTTCCAGTTCAGTTTTGGCGTTTTGTTTGGCTTTACCAATAGCACAGCCCTCATACGCCTGAAAAGTAAGGCAGATAGGAAATTATCACGAGAAACAAACCCGCTTGGAAAAGTACCCGATATCAAAATAGCAACCTAGATAATACTCAAAAAGCTACCACTAGTATTTGTAGCAAAATGTCTGGAGAAATACTAGTAAAAATGAATAAGTTGGGAACATTTAGTGTTCGTCTGCCACGGATAGGAATATAAAAATGAGGAAACCCTACATACATAGTACATTCCTGATGGTTCGATAACAAACAGGTGAGGACCGTCTTCTTCATATGATCCAAGAAGAATAGAAACACCAAACGGTCTAATGGCACTGTATAGTGTGTAGGCATGCATGTGCATTGATATGCGCTCACAAAGAGTCTAAAGAAGTAAGCGATAGAAAGTCAAATACTTTAGCTGAAATAGGTGCTCCGAAAGTATCCCTATAGTTAGAACACTCGTCTCTTGCAACTTCAACAAGGGCCTTTGTGTCCGACTGAAGCCCTGCAACAACCTAAACCAAAAATATACCACAAAGCATTTCAAACCATTCCAATATGTGCATCAACCGTAAAAACACGTTTTATGCAGCCTGGTTCATGAAGTTTGGAAAGGACGATGTTTTCAACAGCAAAAACAACGCCGTCTTTGCCCTTAAGCGCCACAGCTGTTCTGCAAAGTGCCCCAAAATAGTAAGGACTCACCCGCTATTTTCTACAGCTTTGTACGCGTATTCAATTTGAAAAACCTTTCCCTCAGGCGAAAATTGTGAAGCTGAGAGGTCGTACTACAAAATTATTTAGCTAAAAAACCCATACTCCTGTTCCAATCGAACTCATTTCCAATGATTAGTAACGACAAGAAGCTGGCTAAGTCCCCAACTGTACGGAATGCCACAACCAATTAAAATCGTAGAGGAGTTTAGATTTAACCCACTGCGAAGCTTCAGAAAGACAAACATGCTGTAAACACTACGTTAGAGAAGGGAAAATTTATGTCTAAGTAATGATTTTTAGTACCAAAACGCTTTTACAATTTTTTTAAAGCTTTAAATATGAGTCATTGCGTTGTTTTTCTCATTTCAATAATTAAATATCCCAAAATAGTTCATAACTGCAACTCTTCTTATCGAAACAGAGTCTAAATAATTGAGATTACACTAATTATATTTATTTATTTAATGGAAAAAATTATTCGTTTGAAGTATTCCCATAATGCTAAAGTAAAGCACTATGATATCACTCCACTAGTGTCTTAAATTCCTTTAAATGAATGTCCTTCTATTTAGTCTTATTTATTGTAACAACGAGTGAATAACTTGCGTGTCAAGGGTAGACATCCCACAAGCTCATTTGTGAGTCTAGTTAAATATGACTCTAACTGACAATTTATCCCGATTGGTATTTCAAAGCTCCGTATGCAACAAAGTCACAGTGATTATAAAATGCTGTTTTTGCTTAGCACAATTCTACGTAAAGACAAACCATCAGTGAGATTAATGACTAAGATATATAGATTAAAGTTAGTTGAAAGCTTTATTAACCATGACGAGTTTATTATGCAGGAAAGTAACTATGTTTTTGCATAAAAAATTCGCTTTACCTCTGATCATATAAAATATTTATTTTCAACTAAGTTACACACAAGGATCTTCTAATGCCTAATAATATAAAATTATTAATTGCAAAATCTTATTTACCTATGTTGTCCAAATTGCTCCTTGAATATTTAATTAAAAGAACACGAATTACAAAATGCGCATAAAAATTAAATAAACAACATCATTTTTTAGATTTTGATTTGAATTACCTCCAATTTTACAATTGCCTTATTTTGAATTGTGTTTTGTCGACTGGGATGGTTGGCGGTCTCAAAAATACGAGTATTTCTATTTACCGTTTTGAGATAGAGTTTCGAGTATTAAACCTAAAAATTAGCTAAGTACAATATCGTTTTATGATAAAAGCGTTCGCCTTAATTTTAGCATGGTTCACCACACCGACCCTCAATAACAGGGCTTGTAAATCGTGTTTTGCCTGGATTTGATAGTCGATTTATGATGTTGGTTTTTGTTTCAAATCTCTTGCTAGCTTTGTTGTGGTACGTCAAGACATGAATTACTTAGTGAAGAATCCGAAAACTAACTTGAACTCGAAATGTGTGAATGTCATCTGCCTTACTTAGTACTCCTATTGTGCTTGGATTCTCACAATCACTAAAGATAGCAGTTACCACGGCCAGTACTTTCATCATGGTAACTCCATCGGCCATGACTGCAATTGCTGCCAATGATAAATATGACATTAAGGCTTAAAAATGTGATTTTTCTAGATATACAGTATTGTAGGCTTCTGAATAGCCATGCTGACGTCATCAATGCCTACAAATCTAAATCAATGAGCCTGATTTCTGAAATTGCAGTAGCCCCTTTAAACAGTTGCTCTTAATAAGACAATATCAGGGATGCCCCTATCAAGAATTACAACGCAAACAATCTAGAGATTATAAATCCCCGTTAAATGATCAATTAATACGATCAACAGCTCAGAAAGGACTGTCATCTGAAGAGGCGGTAGCATGCTCCAAGAGACGACTAAAACAAGCGAATGACAGAATTTATGGCGCTGCAGCCCTTAGTACACACTTTTAACCACCTAGTTTACCGAACAAATATGACAAATAAATTAATACAGGTGGTCATGCATTTCCATGATTTAATAACATCCATCCAGTGAACGAGAGCAAACACAGCACAAACAAGTTTATATAAAATGTATTTTGTGAAAAATGAAGACAATTTAAGGCACCTGCTGCATGTCTATATATCCGATAAATAAACTTGCATAGATGTGCAGATGTATGTAAATCATAAACTTCGGTGTTCAGTGAGGAGCAAAGCGACAGGTAACGGAGGGACTGAATAAAAACAGATTCGAGAGACAGAACTTGGAAAGACTGTGGATCGAAAGGGCGAACGGACATTTTAGTCTCACGTTCGAGACAAGAAGGAGGCTAGGTGGGAGAACGTACCTCTGCATGACCACCTGCCTCAAGGTCTTGGTCCCAGATTGTCATTTGATTCCGGAAACGATGGTGGCTAAAAAATCACATGGTCGAAAGGTTAAAAAAGAACCTCTGTAGTGAAGCGTCAGCAGATGCGTGAGAACGATAATTCGTTCCTTCAGGTTTGCCATAAATTGATGGGTATTTGTGATCCACTCCTACCATTCATCGGTGTCTTTTGCAAGTACATGTTAAACACGCTTACGCACTAAAATCACGTGCAAATGAATAGACGGTTGTGTCTTAGAGTGACAGAGATCTTAAACAAGATGCGCAGTGACGACACCTCCACTTTTTTTCAAATCATAACAACAAAAGATTTAGCGTAGGGCCCGATAACAACTGAACTTAGTGACGCACAGTTTCACTACTAATTTTACTAAGGTTCAAGGGGAACTCTTTTAGTAGACAATTAGCACACACAAACCATCATGCCTCCACTGATGCCGTTAGGAGTTAAATTAGTGCTGTAAGGTGCATTTCTCCTGGAGCCTGCAGTGTCGAAATTAAATTTTTCGCACAAATACGACTAAATTCATAAAATTCGAACATTTAACAATACTTTTTTCGGGGTCAAGTCTTTTAACACTATATAAGTAGCAGGATTATTAAGGCCACAATCCAATATTGCCGCTGTATCAATGTCCGCAGTTTTAAAGTAGCGAGCGTTCCGATGAATTAATGACCATACATTACGCCTCTGATGGACTCAAACCTCAAGCTTTCTTTTATTGAAAAAGTCCGAAGTACATTTTGAACTACCATTTTAGAGGGTTTAGTGGTTGAACATTGCATAGGAGCAAATGTGGCTATTCGTCCCAGTGCGGTTCAATCAACGCGTCAGCGACGTCTTCGGAGTTGAATAAAAACATTAATCCAACGAAGATCCTCACTAACAGGGATGAGTTTATTTAGGAAAAAGAACTTCACCGGCAGGCTTAGCCCTATTCTAAAAGAGGATACTTAGTGAAAAGGTAGGGCATAATGCAACGAATTTGGAGTAGCGCGATTGAGTCTCACATGTGGCCCAGAATCAAACATTCGGTGTAGTGGAATTCGAATCGGAGGATTAAAGGTTTGGCGAAGAGACTGGATTGGAAAGTGCCGGTGACTGCATCTCGCCATGACGTCTACGTTAGAGAGTGCTAGCCAAATGATTCACTCTCCCAGTCAACACCTACGTGGCCCATCAGTACAAGCGCCGTCAGACAGTGTCAATGTCGTGTACACGAAGCTTGTCAGGCGCTGCTCGAATGTAAATGCACCTGCTGCTGCAAATACTCGAGCAGTCACGGTTGCCGGACAGGGTTAGGTAGAAAGTGGTTGGGCCTCCAGTGACGTGTTCAAATATGTGCAGAGAGGAATTTAAGAGGATTTATGGCAGGAATGTGTACGCCACATTAACTAAAAATGTGCCTATAAAATAATCGGTCATACGAAATGAAAAGCGTTCAATTTGGGGATGTTTACGAAGCTCCGAGAAGTTTTAAGTTCCTACTGGGAAGATAGTGAATGTTTCAAGCACTGATTTAGCTTTGCGATTGGCAAAGAAAGCGGCGATGGGAGTTTATTAGGAACAAATGTGGTCAAAATTACGTAGTTCTGTTTCACCGAAGATTGCAATTTTAGGACCTCAAACGATCAGTTTACGGTTGGGCTACAAATTACGAATTCTTCATCTAATAAGGAGAGTGCACGAAACCATTACAATACTTAAATAATTTCAACGTCTTTCTTTTAAGCATCAGCATAGCGCCAGGTATTAAGTCCAACGTACCACGACATAGTTGAAGTGCATTAAAAATGCTTTATGTAGACTTTGAAGGTACTGTCCGCGATCAGCACAGCAACTATTGAAGTGAATGCTGGCTCCATCTGTGGCCCCAAAGCCCTGAGAGCCGTGAACATCAGATGGAAGCGATGATGAAGGCCACTGCCCCACCAGTGACCGTTGTGGCTGCATTGAGAATTGCGGTATAATCGATTGATAGACCGACGGGGACACGGACTGACAGATGGACGGAGCTGTGGTGGTAACTAGGGCACTCGGATTGTTGTAATTATTAATATTATTGTTATTTAAAGTAAGATAGACCGTGGAAATTGTAGGAGAAGATGATCTGGAGGACGAGGTGGAGGAAGATGAGGAGCTATTTTCATTAATTACGTCATCATAAGCCTGTTGGAGGGAGGCTACGAGCTGAGAAAAGGTTGGTCTGCAGGCTGGGTCAATGGACCAGCACGAAAGCATTAGGCCATAGACATGGCTGGGGGAGGCGAGTGGTTGCTCATTTCGGAATCCCATCTGAAGTGCCTTCAAAAGTGACTCTGCAGATAGAGTCGGGTAGGGCGTTCCTCCGTAGGAGAATATCTCCCAGAGCAGAATTCCAAATGACCATCTGGAAGTAAAAACAGGATTCTCAAATGATTAATTAATACCGTATAATGCTGATTACGTGCTACTCGTAGTAATTAGAATAAAACCTATGATGCAAGTCGTAATTGGCTCTCAGCTCTAATGCGCTTGTCAATATTTATGCAAGTATTACCTAAAAATGGTCATCTGTTTCTAATGGGCGGTAAGTCAATGACAATGTGTGATTTGTAGTCAATAATGGAACAGTAATAGCCAGAGTGAAGTAAGGTGGGTGGGTTGTAACAGAGTGGGATCAATGTGCTGCGAACACCGATACTGTAATCGATGAACACATGTGTTGAACAAACTGGAGGTAATTCTCCCGAGACATTCCATCACACAAATATTCAAGTTCAGCACACAGTTACCAACATCACAAAGGGAAGACTCCGGCGACGACTAGGAGCGGCCCACTACGTGGAATGGTAGGTGTGTGAGCTTACCTTGAAGCATCCAGTAGACTAAAATGTGGTATCATTATAGTGGGGATGAGGCTTTCAATTGACTCCCAAATCTAAAAGTTAGTCTAACTATGCAAAATGCATACGAAATATTGCTATCATGACAAGCTTGTAAAACGTGTGATTCGCTTACACATCACTTTTTGTTGTGTACCGGCGATCGAATATCGATTCAGGGGCCATCCACTTGATAGGTAGGCGACCCTGGAATTGAAAAACACACTACGCATCAACATTCATTTTTACAGATTAAACACAAGTAGATGCTAAACTGGAGAAAATACATTAAACAAATCAACTTCAGTCAAAATTTGTTTAAGCATATTGACAATGTAAATCTAGCGAAAATGCCATAATATCTTCAAAAGGCGAATAATCCCTGGCACACATTCAACAAACTTTGTTATGCATTTTTGTGTCATTGCGCAGAGGACACTTGGGGAACTTGGAAATTATCTCGACTAGTTTGGTGTGCAGCATCATTAACTCGGTTCCGAGGAACGCGAATTTTCACTAATAATCAAACTAAAGACCGTCATTCTGGGGTGTCACGTATTATGCATTGTGGACTGGTTACTCAGCCGATAACCTCCTCGTAAACGACCGATAGACGTGAAGTATTCTGCTGCTTATACATTTTTTTAGTCTCCTCTAAAAGCAGCTGCATATTTAACAAACATTTATCTTTAAAAAGGAAATCCTTGGGAGGCAAGCCAAAAGAATAATTGACACCCATTATTATGTTACTTTGGCTTGAACAAGAATGAGGCTGATTCAGACAAATCTTGAACTACATCATTGCACATGATAACAGTGATGGAATTTGGTAGTAAGACCTCGAGTCCAAAATGCAGCCTTAAGAGTTGCAGTCAAATACTTTTAAGGGAATCTGCATAGTTTTCTGGGACGCCATTGGACCAGCTATGCTAGTGGACACTCTGAAGTGAATCGCCTTGTAAAACCACACGTGAGCGTACTTTCCACCAATACTATGTTGACATTGAGAACTTTCGAGGCATCTTGGCTAGGAAAATTTTGTGTATTAGAAAGGGGTATCGATTATCTAGAAGACTACAAACAATAAAGTAAGGATCATTACGTGATGTGTGTGTGTGTGTAAACACTTGCGGGTATTGTTACTCTAAGGGAAATATATTGTTTAGCGGCAGCCCTGCATTCCGTGCTAGAGGGAAATCAACTATTCCGACCATAGAATGAAGTTTATCACTTGAAATAAGACTTGTCTCAGAAAATTATTTAAGTAAACGCTATTTTAAGCAAGTACAACCGACTTAAGTGATTTATCTTTTAGACACCTCAAAAGTAATATGGTTCCCGAGATGACAAGGTTTTTCTACTGATCAAAATCGGTAAAGTTCTGGAAAAATGTGAAAATGAAACTCTAAAGCGAGGAAAGCATTAGTCATCAACATCGGTGTCATTTACCCAAAAAGCAGCTTATTTGGCAAAAAAGGAGAAGTTTAAAGTAGCTGGGGGGAAGAGGGGAGAAAAATAGAATTAGTAAAGGACTTACATCACTACACTTCCGGTAATAATCACACACACTCCTAGTCAGCCCAAAATCGGCTATTTTGGCCACAAATCTACAGCCGATAAGGATGTTGCGGGCCGCCAAGTCGCGATGTATAATCTAAAGACAAAGTGCTCACTCTTTATAAGAGCTTGAGACTAAAAAATACCAATGGAGAAGGGCCTCAGGGACGCACATTCTGTCTTGCGAGGTAGTCCATTCCCTTTGCAACCTGTAATCCGAAACTAACAAGATGACGAGCTGACAAGTGCGAAAAGGGCTGATTTGCCGATTTTTGGTCTCTGCGTGGTCTGCGGTCCATGAGGAAGTCGCGAAGATTCCCGTAGGGAGCCAACTCAACCAACACCTGCAGTCGACCTGAATTGAAGTGTGATTTGAAAGTCGTGCCCGATATGATGCATTTATCAGTTGAGCTATGCAATCTGCCACTGTGTCACGCGAAAAGACAAATTGTCTGACATTCTGAAATGTGTGCTACAGACACCGTAGTGGGATTTCGCTGATACGACTTCAGCGTGCTGTAGGGTGCATTTAAGCGTCCGACGCCCATTGGGTCGATTCCCAGTCCGCCTGTTACACACCGTTTGGTCTTGACCCTCATTCATGCGCGGTTTTGGGTCTTTTTGTGAGACGCGTGATATGGCTGTTTATTAAACTCAGTAACCAGTTGGGATGGAAGCATTCATATCAGGAGTCTGGAAATTGTTTTTTTGCACGTGTACAAGAATGTCTACTGGAGAACATATGCGCAGCTGGGATGCTGCAGACGATAACTCAGCAAGCAGTACAGGATGAGGTCAAGCAGGTCAACATTTACGTAGTAATCACGGAGTGAACAAAGACTTGAACGAAATGGAGCCACTAGAGATAGAAAATCACGTCATAAACGACAGAAACAAAATTCTATCAAGGAACATCTGAAAAAACAAGTCCCCCCACCTTGCGTTGGTGGTGAGTTATCCTGAAACCATCATTGCGTTAAAGGTTTGCACAAAAATAAACGATACTAGAAACTAATAAAAGCGTTTTAAAATCTGTGGGTCTGTGGAGTGGCACGAATCGAAAGGTAACTTCAATTTGTGATAAAAATGCTGCATCAAGTGGGAATCAGATTTGTGCAAAAAATGAAACGATTTTTCGAATGTGACATCACGTGTTGTTTTTAGGTTAAAATTGATGAGAATTTTTGCCGTTTCACTGAACCTCCGAAACGTTTCCAATTAAAAAATCAAATGTGCAGGCACTTCGGAAGTAAGCCGCATTCCTGGTTTTCAACCGCCTAGCATGGCAGTCGAATTGTTTGGTGAGTGATGTTAGCGTGGAAAAAGTCCAGGCAGTGGTGTCAGCAGAAACCTTTGGACTTGACACAATTTGCGACTTCTTTTCATGTAATTTGCAAAGTAAATTTCACGCCTTTGCAATACTCACTTCCCGACGCCAACGAGGAATCACAACAGCCACATAACCAAAAACAGCCAAGGTTTTTACAAAAAAACGCTGTGACAATGGAAAAAAATTACTATAAAAAAATAAAAGAGGAAATAAATGGGGCTCTGCGGGAAGTAATAGCTGTAAAAGAAAGTCAGTGTTTAACTTTTGACGGTCTATTAAACAAGTGGTTCTGGACAATATTTGAAAGTCAAAGTGAGTTTTCACAAAGCATCAAAAAAGATACCTGGATTGCTTCTGTTACACAACGAAGATAATGGTATGGCAGCGATTACAGAGACACAAGGTGTCAAAATATATGCTAAAATATAGCCAGTTACGCCATCCGGCTAAAAATGAGACAATTTAAACCCCTTGCCTTAGGAAGTCATTTGTACGGCCATAATTTAGAGGGTGAAAGATATGATGTTATACAGAATGAGCTACCAGATTATAAGTACAGCCAATAACGTCCAAAGCCCTGGAGACACTATGTCAAATCAAATTTTTAAGACTGACGATGCAAGAAACAAAGGGTTTCTTCGACAAGGTAAACAATGTTTGGTTATAACTAGTGCCTTGTACATGGAGTTTAGCGCAGATCATGGCCCATTTGCAGATTTGTTTCAATACCGCAAAATTAGTTTATCGTGTAGCAAGACTGTCGCCGTTTTCTAAGAAGAGAAATAACATTGATCGATGGTCAGAAGCCGAAACATCTGTGCCGTTAGTTGGACATTAGCCTATATGTCGGCACGTAACGGTCAAACCCAATGAAACTGTCTAGAAAATCCCTAAGTGTTCTAATGTACAGAGGCACAAGAAGCAGATTAATTTAAAGAAGCCCACGTGCACACATTAGCTGATTTATATTTTTAAAAAAAATTTGACAGCGTAATGGACGAATGTGTATCTAAGACAGTTAGTTGTTATTATTAGGAAAAACTTGGATGATGTGAGAGCAGATTTAGTAACTGATAAATTTAACGATACGAAATAAACCCCCCATAAATAAATGAAAAGATATTGCGTCTCTTAGGATAGTGCCAAAATAACCAGCAACTTTAAATAGCAGCTAAATTGATATCAAGACCGAAGTGTGAACTTTTATCAAAATCCAGGATGAACATGAAACATTAATCTTGTGGCCCCGACCACACAGGGGCACCACAATGGAATGCCAAGGTTGCATACTTTGCGTGGCTGTAAATTTAGTACCTATCAAAACTTATATCCAATTCTGTTTACCAAATAACCTAATGACTCCTTACAACGCCTTCGACGATCAACTGTTTGCTCTGAAGCTTAAAAATAGCTTGGTGTATCCACGACGTAGTTATCGGGGTGGGCTGCAAATCTAAATTCAATCCATGGTGCAAGTCTGCACAACCAAACCAACTAGCATAAAATATCGAAAGCTAGGCAAGTGAAAGGGCTAAGCTTGCCAAAAAGAAAATTCTCAGGCCTTTCTAAAGTCGCCGTTACTTTGCAGCAACATCGTTAATTATTTGCCTGCGATATGCAAATTAATTAGTGTTTATTTGACTTCTGAATGTTAGGAAGAGCATTAGTTGCTTGATTGACCTGTCCGTAGAGTCCTTGCATAGTTCAAGTCAGATCGCTCAAAGCTATAACATTTCCACAAAAAATAGGACATCACACCGATGTGGGAAAATAAATGGATTCTGCATTTTTAGTGAATATTTTTGACAGGCATTACAGACGGTAACAATGCACATTCCAGGATTTAGAAACAAGCACAAGGGGCGAAATTTGGGTACGTTTTAAAAAATCTCTGCCGCAGAACACATTTGGTAACTCTTGAATTCCTGCTGCCTGGTTGCAAAAAAAATTGAGATGAATGTCAACGCGATAGAACAAACATTTGTCTGGTCGACTTGCAACAGTTAATTATAAAGAACTATTTATTCCGTTTATTGGTGAAATATTTAAGCATTAGAACTCTACCCACCCACTAGCACTTAAACTTCAGGGTTAGAAGATTTTCTTAAATCAAGAGTAAAGATTACGTAAAGTTTCGGTAGAAAATATTTTCGAAAGATAATCAGGTAGGATTTTAATTTCTTTACAATATTACCTGCCATTTGGTCGTCAATCACGCGTGGCTATTTGCGAGGTAATCTTAATTAAAAATCTGAAAAGAACTAGGCGCTTCCAGTAAAATAAGTGCCTGATGAAAATAAAAAGCAGCATGTTGTCAAACCCAAGACAGTCAACATGCTTTTGAACTTGTTTAATCTTATGACGATTTTTTTCCAAAAGCCGTTCCTTTCTCTTCTTTGAATGACCACACGCTTGTGTAAGACTCAGCACCATTTAAACAAAAGAGATCAGACGCAGCTAGGTATACGACTGCCGCGACAGCAACCTGTATTCTGCTGCCGCATCAAAAATTGCAACGACAGAAGCAAATCAGTACGCAGGTGGTGGGGGCCGAAATTCCTTAACGGTCCCATAATGGAGGCCGCCCCTGCTAGCCAACAGTTGCTGCTCGGAAAACCACCAAAGCAAAAATGCCACTATTGTTTTTGGCAACTGTCGTGGTGCATGCCTGTTTCTAACTGAAGCGCACCTCGTGACCAACTAGTAGCGATTAAAACTCCTCACGATGTAATGCTATACTTTTAATAAAGCAGTTTTAACTTCAAAACGTTTAGGTTTGATTTTAAAAATAAAGAACTGCCTTTGGAATTGAAGTGGCTTAAGGTAAACTTAAATAGGCGAAAACAAAGTTACTCAATTTATTAATAGTAGCATTCTGACTTTCATAAGGTTTTCGCAGGGCTCTAATATCGCTCTTGAAAATTCCACCAACAAAGGGCTTAATGGGTTCATTTAAGCAACTGCTAAGAGTCAAAAACAATAGCTAGAAGTCACCGAGCAATTAAAACACGACTAATAAGATTGTAATATTGTGTGACTTCGAGGCATAATAATAATAACAATAATAATAATAATAAAAGAAAGTGGCAAAGCTGGGTTAAGGAGCTTGTTTCCCTAAACGCAGACTCACATTTGAAATAAATCGCATGAGTTGTCCATAAAAGATTCAATATTATTGGTAAAAATTACCTTCATTAACTAACTCTGGCATTTTTGAATAATATTATAGTGATGATTTAGCTCAGAACATAATAATTTCTGCAAAGGCAGTCAATTTGTAAAGTGTCAACTTAAGTAACAGAGTAAGCACCTTCGATCTAAACAAAAACCTCGATCTGTAAGTTTTTGAAAGGGAAATCACTTCCTAGCATGGAGGGCGAGAGCAGTGGTGGAAGACGTGTTACGAATCGGAACAAGTCTGACATCGAATTTGTCGAAGTCGAAGTTGAGTCACCTGACGCGGTACCAAATTCCTTCGTCTGGCTTGCCCCTTCCTAGTCCCACTTTTTCTTCCAGGTAAAGTTATTAACAAACGCGTGTGCGCTCGGCCAAAGTGTTTTGCATGTCTTCTCGTCGGATGCGTGCGAATGTGCGTGCTACAGCACCGTCAAGGCAAACGACAAGTCCGTAAATAACAAAAATAGCGCTTCTTCTAAAAACGCAGCCTAATGGATAGAGATGCAGAGTATGTGTCTTAACCCTTGATGTGATCAGGCTGGGAAAGGGAATAATGTTAAGGCAGTCGATTCTACCTAAAGCATGCGACGGCAAAAATAGGCTTAGCAGTGCCGGGGTATTTGATTCTGCACCCCAGGCTTGCTCAACCAAAATGATGCGTAATGCATTATGCCACCTGTTGACAATTATGCTTTTACGCATTTATTGCACTTATAACTGGATATAGGAAATACGGATGCCGAGGTTGAATCATTTCCCGCAGCACAGTCTGACGAGCGTGAAATTGTTAGTCAATTTAAACTTGGACACTGCTGCCGAACAAGCAAAATAGATGCTGTGTCAACAACCAACTGTGTTTAAAATAACTGCATACAAAATAGATGCTCGTGTTAAGTGCATTTTGGCGCCCTGACAAAAAGTTAGAGGATAAAGCGCATCAAAAAAGCCCTGCCATATTTTATGGTGGATTCTCAAAGTAAGTAACATGGATTATTTGGCGTTAGTTGCATTTTCTCGTACACTAAAAGCAAATATTTAGTTCTGTTGCATAGCTGCCAATTTTTCACATCCATCGTATTAAACAAGCTCAAATTTAAAATTAATGTCGTAACGACAAAGCATTAAAACAAATTGCACAGACCGAATTGAAAAGCAACGTCTAACCCTTTATTTTTTGGTTGCTTTTGCACAATTTTTTGTTCGCACGAACGCCATACAGCACTTGAGCGCTCTCAAATTGACCTTTTTTAATTAACTGACCTGAAGTTTCAAAGCAATAACACTTGCCAGCCACCATCGACTTGCCATTTGCCTCACAAGTCCTTTTCTGAAGGTTAGTGATTTGATAGGGGTATTCATGAATTTCAAAAATAATGTAATTTTGTCAGTAAACTTCAAGCCTCGAAAATGTCTAGAGATTAGACTTTGGTTAGCTTCTTTACGAAAAAGAATTTTTCCGGGTGTCTTTATGAAGCTGAAGCTTTCCACTTAAGTAACCAGAACTCACCATTTTGAGTGCAGACGCCATAGAGTTGGATCACATGTGGATGAGGATTAAATTGCTTGAGAATCTCCATTTCTCGAACAAGGTCTGCCAACTCCTGTCCTGTGAAGTTTTCTAAAAGTGTATAATGTTTGAAATTCACTTCGCGGTAGCGAGTAGGCAAAATTTTACGTGTCAAGCCATAACCGAAGCATGAATCCAGGCGTCGCGAGGACAAATCGCATAGTTCAACTAGCCAGTTTGAATTTGGCCAGGGGCTTTTGCGTGGTCTGTGGAGCATTGAGACACTCCTGACATCACCAGCTTGTTCGGCTACACAGAGCAGTGCCCACTTTCCATTACCTCATAGTGGAGAAATGAAAATATCCTAACCTAGGCATGTAAATGCTTTTTATGTTTATTTGCAGATTTAAAACCTCGAGAGATATAGTGACACTACAAAAAAGAAATGTTAACATCCAATGATTCACCGTAACATGGAGTGGGGAGTGACGCTAAAAAATGCCACCAGATTTGACTAAAAATGCTTGCTGCATCCTGGATTTCACCGGACGTGGAAGGTGCGTAAGTGAAAAAAATTTTTGTGGCCAAAGTTGTGGAAAAATATTAAGAATCGGGCATTTCAGTTTAAGGCATCGTAAGAAGACTTAAGCACATCATGCGTACGTAATTTTGCGTCCTGATACATTTACGCAACAAACAGGCTTTACAATAAGCACTAATATTTTGACGGCAAGTATACAAAAATACATATGGAACTTTCAGTTGTCGTCGGTGAAAGTACCTTGTCACCAAACCACTGTCAGGTTTGGACATTATAATGTGATAAGTTGGCTTTAACTGCTGACACGTCAGACTTAATAACAGAAATTCACAATCGACTCAAATTCGCGCTGGTCTTTCGTAAGAAATTTTTTTTTAAATTCCTGTCGCTTATGCTTTGAATTTCGAAGGAAGTCAAAAATTCAAGAGAAAAATAAGGTTTGGACAATTGTGATCCTGCTATTTGAAATTCGCAATGATTGTAAAGAAGTTCGGGGTCAACTCAGCAACACATTAACTTCTTAGCAGAATACTTTAAACAACAAGCTGCCAGATTAGAACTTGAGTGTATTTTGTCAGAGAAATCAAGCATTTGCATTCAATTCATCAATAAAATATCTTAAAAGCTATGTACAATGGTCTAGGGATAAACACTTCAAACTCTGATCTCACTCAAAAGAATGGTTACAGTTTCCACTCTTTTGATGTAGATTATAAACGATTGCGTGAACGGTCTAATTCATACCAACCAAGTTCATGCTTAATCTAGGCGCAAGGACTGTGGCAGATTGAAGGTTAAGTTATAAAATTCTAAAACGTCGTGAAAATTCGCCCGATTGCTGTTCCAAGCCAATGCGACAATGAATGAGCTGGAGAAAGTCTGATTGACCAGCATAAAATAACACAAGTTTACACTGAAACAGGCTAACATTTAAAGCCAACATAACATCGAGTGAACCGACGATGCCGCAGATGCTTGTGTGCTTCACGAAAAAAATCATACTGCAAATCAAGTTTTACTTCCAAGTTAGAGAAATGATGAACAGTCCACATCACACCTTTGTCAAAATAGCGTCTAGAATTTAGTTCGACGTCCAGTCAGATAAATCCGTTTAGGCAGTAAATAACTCTACAACTTCACCAAAACTTGGTTCATAAGCCTCCCAAAATGGTTGACAGGTTAAAAAGTGTAAATCGAGAGGATTTTGGAAACCTTTCATAACGGTGAGAAGCCTTAGAATACAAACGTAAAATTACTTTAAAGCATGAAACCAGGATCTAAGTAGCGCCTATTTTAAATCCAAAATACCCAGTCTGTTTCGGAAATGGTTGAATAAAATCTCATTAAAATCTGGAACGTTATTTATTGTTAAAAGTACAATATATTCCTAGTTAAACTATAACGTCACCTTAGAAAAAGTGAAAATCAAGTGCTCGCATAAGTAATAAATCAATTTTTTCGATAAAAACGCTGACGGCCATTTTACCGAGGAACTAAAAATGGTGGCTGTAAACGGAACACATAAGGTAGTAATGCAGAAAAAAATTACGTTTGTTAAATGTAGGTGCTATGCCACGGCTGTTGCAAAAAAAACAATTTATAACCGATTGGAATCTGCGTCGATGATTCAGTAGTAGTAGTAGTAGTAGTATGTAGAACCATGACATTTGCAAAAAACACGTGGACCCTTCCCTCTTGTAGCAAAAGTTCAGTTTCGAATTCGGGCTGGCTGGTTGTTGGGGTCCTTTGAAAAAGCGAACAAGATTGTGTACCTCCGTGCAATTTTATTGGTCAGAAGTAGTTTAGTCCAAGCCCTCCATCGAAAAATTTACCAAAAACTTAAACTATGCGGCTACGCTGTTAGCACACTTGTGCTACAAGGTCTTGGGACCACGTAGTTACCGACAGTCGCTATTTTTTGAAATTCTCTCTTATACTATTAGCACGTGCCATGTCTTCTGGGCCCTTAATTCATCAAGCCATAGTCACTTGACTCAGATTTAAGGCCAAGGTGTTGATGTAATAAAAGCAGACCAAAATTAGCAGGAGAAGAAGTGAAGGTGTTATTCCGATAGTTCATTGACGTGACCTAATGCTTAGTTTGACGTAAATTCCCAAACCTAACCTTATTTTAGCAGCTTAAGCGACTGCGGTATTTAAAAAAAACCCAGTGAAACAAGGTATGCGGGAAATCATACGAAAAATGTCCATCAAATTTTAGTAAAAGTGCACACTGACTTAAAACCACAACTCACCCCGTAAGGTTTTCACCGCAACAGTTAGATCTTGTGTGGGGCCCCGTCTACTCGCAGTCGTTATGGTATTTCCCCTTCGCAGTCCGGGTAACACCTTGGTAGGGTCACTTACAGTTCCCTCATAGACAACTCCAAAGGCACCGGCACCAATCTGCCTACCAAGACGGACTCGATCCCGAGGCACTTCCCAGATCGGATCGCTGGGGATTTTGTATGTATCTAGTTTGCCTCCGGCAACATCAACACCTCCGGTTGCTGCTGAAGACGTGTACATTTTTATTATTACCGCTGGTACCTAAATGACAAGGCCGTAAGTCCTTAATGTTGTTCGCCTCATAACAGACACCTGCTAATGACAATACGAAAAAAATGTTATATTCTTAGGTTGTAGTTTGGATTGGGGTTAGCTTACGTTTCTTTAAACTTATCAATTTTGAGCAAAGGGTAATCACAATTTACTCTAAAATCATTAAATACTTTCTCTGGGTAAAGGAGAAAGACTTGAGCACGGGTCGTTTTCATAATATGAAAATTTAAAAATAGATACATTCGAGCGTAGTGTTAACACTGTACCATTATAACAGATTCCTTTAAAAATGGGATAATTTAAAAAGATGCATAGAAAAATATAGCTGAATATTGCTAACAAAAACTTGGATTAGGCAATGTTTTTAGACTCTTGACCAATAGAAATACCAATAATTTATTTATCTTAGTACAACTCGATATATTTGTCAATGTTATTTACGTCACATCAAGAGGCAATTCCTAAAAACATTCCTACGGGCACAAAGAACCCAATGCATGGATTTCCAATATTTGTTGTTTACGAGATTAAACAGCTTTTTCTTTGAATTTAGAGAAAACATAGACTAACGTATAAGGAAGGTCTCTTTTCAAAATTTTAACCCTTTCACGGTGACGGCAAAGTGCACCCAAAACTAACCGCACCAAGTCGAGGTGATATTAGATTAAGGGTCAAATGTAGGACAAGACCAGTTTACTAACTGCCGAGGGGGGTTGTAATAGCCTAAAAGAGACGTGCGGATGGGAATATATTATAACACAATTACAAATGAAGTAGCAGATCCGAAATAGACTCATGCGTAATCTCAGCACCACCATAACGCAATGATTAGAAAACAGAAGCAACAGCAACATCTCAAACTACGCCAGTCCACTTGTATTGCACAACACGCGCTACGAAGATTTTCACGAGCAAATTAGACTCGAAAGTCGACTGAGGCTGTCCACCTGAGCTAATTCATTACCTCTTACTATATGCATTTCTGAAGAAGGTACGTGTTTTGCTCAATTTCATGATTTCAAAATGCTTAACGAGACACCTATTTCTAACACCATAAAATTAAAGGTTAAGTAAATTGATGGTTTTATTTAAAGCACACAGATCGAGGAATACATTGTGGATAAGATAATCATAGGGTAGATTCGCATTATTGACATTTTAGCTCATGGTATTCGGACTTGTGCAAGCGTATAGTCCATTGAGCTCCAAAAGTATTTCACGACCGTCCACTCTATAAGATTTGACGTCCCCTCAAAACTTTATCTGGGATTATAGCAGCTGCAGACGTACATTAAAATTGGAAGAAACCCTGGACTCATTGTATAAATCGTAAAATGACATGCATGCGCCAGATTCCATCCAATAGTATGAAATTGAATTTATGAGTTTGGGATCTACTTTCATTTTAAGCAGTAAACGTTGGCAACAAAGGAACTAACTTGAAGATTCCTTCTGGCTCCAGAACTTTCATCTGCTGATTGTAACCCAATGTAGGATGTTAGCAAACTGCTTTTAGCACTATTGGTTTGGAGCTGTGTGTACTGTTGGAGTTGAGGAGGTGCAGTCCAAGGATAGAGCAGGTTGGTCTCCCGTACCACCTTATTGGCAGCTTTACTCCACTTCTTAGAGCCAAGAAGAGGGGGGAAACGGTTTTGACGCCAAGAGAGGGTTATAAGAGCTGCCAAACCGACGAGAAGAATGGCAAGTAGCAGACAAACAAAGGTCAACGCTGACGGACTCTTCAATACCTCCAAAGCGGGCTCAAGGTGAATCTTTGTGGATCTCAGAGTAGTGAGGTCTGACGAAAATGACAAAAAGATATCCTGACCTTCAAGTAAAACAAGTACTTGTGTCGCTGATATGTAGAGCCGATTTTGATATTGTGTCATTTTTGACTACTCATTACAGAGAAGCGTTTTTGATAGTACAGTTAAGTGAACTTTTGTGCTACATAATAGCTGGGTAAAATACGTTATAACAAACCAGAAACAGTAATATGGACCGCTTTACGTAGCTACAAGCTAAAAACATCATGCAAGTGTCCCACAATGGGGATTAAATACGAACTTTGATTCAGGCAGACGACCGTTCGTGGTCAAAATTT